TCAGAGAATATTTGCAGTTATTCTTTTCTCACCATATCCTCCCCATTTCCAAGCAACCCACTGATTAAATAATTTTTACTTGGATGTCAGAGCTTAGACTGCCACATGCATCCACATGGAATTGGGAGGTGAAAGACCTGAATTGTAGCTGAGTTCACAGCTATGACTGGGCCTGATCTACTATCCGCTAAGGCTGGTAATACTTTGTGATGGTGAAAATGAATAATGCTTGAAATGAAGTAATTTAATGAATGCAAAATGTGATGTCAATGAACATTCTATTAACATACGTTTTGATGCATTAGTTGGTCTATTAATATTTAAGTCAAATTTACAGTTTTCATTGAAGCAGAAATTTGAGGATTGCCTGACTGTTCCATAACCAATGAGAACTTTAAACTTCAATCCAGTCCCTATTCAAATGGTAACAAATCTCTAAACCAATAAAATTCAATTAATGAAAATTTCTGTAGTATTAGTATAGTTTTTACCTACTCAGCGTCATAGGGTCTTACCTACCCAAAGTTTGTTCCTGAATAAACTGATCGCACTGAACAGAAATATCCCACCCATGTTAAGGCAATTTCAATAAAAGTAAGACTGAACATTTTAAGCTGCCAATGTAAACAATTGGCGCCCACCCCTAGGACTCTATCCCTACATGCCTTGCAGTCTGCATAATTCAGAATTTGGCACAATAACAAATAGCAAGAACTAGCTACACACTAGGCAATGTGCAAACTCTTCGTGATTATCCTTCCAACTTTACTGAAGTCATATAAAACTGAAATAATAACTATAATAATTAAAACTACCTTGATGAGTTTAAACATATATACACACATAAGTTACCATGACCATGATCAAGGTAATAAACATATCCATCATCTCCAAAGGTGCCCTTATTTCTTTTTGTTTAGGAGGAGTGTTTTTGTTTGGTTCGATCTGTTATTTTTAAGATCTACCCTATTGTGAAATTTTGAGTGCATAGTACCTCGCTGTTAACTGTAAATACTATGCCGTACATGAGTTTGCTCATCATTTATAACTTTATACCCACTGAAGGAACAATTCCACACAACCCATCCACCTCCATCCTCTTGAAAATACCATCTATCATTTGCTTCTATACATTTGATTACATTTCTCACATAAGAGCAATAAGGGAGTATTTTTCCTACTGTGTCTTATTAACCTCAGGATAATGTCTTCCAGTCTATAACCATACCACCCTGAATGCATCCAATGTTTTATTTAGAATTATTATAACATTTGAACATTAGGACACTACAGGGTAAATATAAACTTTTAAATGAAGAAACTCAGTGTCCAAGAGTTAAATTTGTTTTGTCAAGAGTCATATGGATCGTCAGTGCCAAAGTAAATTTTGTAATCAAAGTTATCTGAGTTTTTCACATGAATTGATTTATGCATTCTAAAAACCTATGTATAGTCAGGGACTTAAACATCCTATAGCCTACATCATTAGTTCTAACAATATTCACTGCTTACATGGTGATATTAAATTATGATTTCTAATCAGAACATGTTGTATTAATATGAGTCTCGTACCACTTACAACTGCATGATCATATTAAGACTCCTTTTCATTATAAAAAGAAACATGAGAATATCTACCTACCAAAGTTGCAGGAATTAGCTGATATGATACGTTTGTTTACCTAGTACTTGAGAAGTGGCAAATGTTCACTTGTTCATACAGACTTGTGAATTCTTTGGGATACCCTACCAAAAATTAACTGTTCATTTTTATCAAGACATAAGAGAAGCTTAAGGTATACAGATGAGTAAGTTAACTTCAGGTTTTGGCAAATATGGGTTTCTCCCATATTGTTCATATTTCCTTCTCCATTCTCTTTTCCAGTTGAGGGCACATATCTAACAGTAGTGGTGAACCTATCACATAGAAAGAAAAGAATCCTTGATCTTCATCAGCACAGATTGACACAATTGGCTTAGTCCCAAATTGGTTGGCAAAACCTAGATTCAGTGAATGCCACGATCAGTCCTTGAAGACAATATAACCTTCTTTTTACCTACCTTTTATATTATTCCCTTAAAGAAAACAAGCTCTGAAACTAAAATCAGTTAACATATGATATGTTCATATCTGACACCCTGAGCTTAGCTGTCAGTAGGGTGCCACAGCTTTCAATTCAGAACAATAAAAGAACTGTTAATAGCCAAAAAATACACACATCCAGTGTGACTGTCATTTGCACTTCCTTGTAACAGTCTAGACATACTGTTTGGGGTGTTATCAAATGTGATAATTGGTAAGTAGATCTTTGCCCCGTGTACTGGGTTTACCTACAAATTATAATGTAGGGTTGCATGCCGTTGTTGATCTGCTTGCCTCCTACCTTTCTAAATTCAACAGAGTCTTGCTGTTTTCTCAGAAAACAGAAGTCTTCAAAGGTCAGCTCTAGAAAATAGGCAATTACTAAATATGAAACATTAACTTGAAATCTATATCACATAACATAGATGAGAATGAGAGACCCCATTTTGAATTGGTTCAAAGTTTACTTTAGTTTCAGAATCCAATTTTGAAGTCCATTGTAGCATTTGTATGTATTTAAAATCTGTTTCTTTTCCATAATATGTTGAAAACGTGTGGTTGGTAGGATGAGACCCGTGAATTTCCACACTGATTATTACTAGTGTATCTGTTCACAGTGTCCAAGTATGACACTAGGTGCTTCCAAGTACGCTATTCCAATAATAAATTCACGATTCAATAAAAATGTAAGATAGCTGGGTTTAGTAGTGCACGCCTTTAATCCCAGCACTCAGGAGGCCAAAGCAGGCGAATCTGTGTGAGATCGAGGTTAGCCTGGTCTACATAGAGTTCCAGTTCAGTTGTAGCACAGGAAGATCCTGTCTCAAAAAGACCAAAAAAAAAAAAATTTGCAAGATAAGGCTGAGTGTCCATTTGAAAAGCACTTTTTATTGTTTAGACTATGAGGCACCAATACCAGACATCAGAAAACTTTTTTAATCAGCCTGATATTTTTGTCAGCTTTTCTGTGCATCCAGATGTTTAATTAGCAGAGTAGACAGATAATGTGCTAATAAAAGCCTAAGAGCAATGTACTGAAGGGAGGAACGGTAATGTCATCTAAAATCCAGGGAAAATCTGTTAATATATTTTGAAGAACAAGGGGAAAGAAGTGAACTTCTTTTTGAAGCAAACCCTCACTTAAAAGTTAGTCATAAGTGAAGATGTGTATATATGGAAAAAACATAAACCAGGGGCAAAAATAGACCAAACAAACGGGAAAGGCAAAAAAGAAGCAAACTGCATTTTAAATCAAAGTACTGGCTATAGTACAGGGAATTTGAAAAGACTGCATATACAGAAAAATATTCCCTGGGTGCCCCAGTGTTGCTCTTCCAAACACATACTCTCTGGGTATCGCCCACTTTCATTGTCCCCAGCTGTGGTACATCCCCCTGTAGCTCAACAGGAATAGTCAAGTAAGGGCAAGGAAGCAAGTGAAAGAGCCGCAGAAAACCAGTGCCAGTGACTATCATCAGGAGACTTAAGGAGCCACCCGAACCTCTCTATTCCCCTACAGGCTAAGATTAGTATCTTTATATCTACCCTTGTTAAACAACTGAATTAAAGCCACTTGCCTCCTTTAAGGATCATTGAAAGATTTTAAATGTTTTGCTTATTGGATATGGAGTGATGTGCCCATATGCTCAGTTAATCACTCCAGCCTCTTCTCTTTGCTTGGAACTCGCTACAGCCCTTCCTACATTTCACAAGTGGGAAGAGTCAGCTCTTCGCACACCTATTTTTTTCTTACTAAGTGCTGAATTTCAAGAAAAAAAAATAAGAAAAAGGTTCTTTTCTTTCCTTACCTCTCCAAGCAACGAACACAGCATTCTGTGCCTATTACATTCTAAACAGCCACTCCTTCCATAAACCCAGTACCTGACATCCTTCCTCTTCCAAAGAGTAAAGCCTTTATGTGATTTCCTTTCCTTCAAAGAACAATGCATTCAGGAGTCTAGTGCAAATGATGAAAACACAGAAACGGAAAGAGTGATTCATCATATCGATATTTCTCTGGTTTAGCAATATTTGCATAAATCCTAACTGCTTACGTAAATTCCTACGGACAAAAAGGGTTCTTCTAAGTTAGTATGCTTCGGAACCACACATATTAAGCATGCATGATCCTGGGCTAACAAGAAATTGTGGTTCAGTAGGAGGAATTCAAATATACGCATACTTAATAAGCTCCCCAGTAATTGACTGCTCTTTTGGAAATTGCTGCCCTATGTATTTTGTCACCATAAAAATCTCAACCTCTATTTTGAGAATTGCCAGTAGACAATAATATTAAGAGGATTTTTTAAGTGCAAATAAAATCAGGTTGCAACGTACTAAATAATTTAATGTTCACAGATACATGGACGAAGTGTGAGGACTATTTTTTTTTTAAAAAAACTACAAAAAAAATTTCCATTCTGAAGGAATGTTCTCATTGAAAGATACTTCTACCAGCTACATTGTAACTATACAAACTATGGTCTCCAGCTAATTAATGCTAGAAAATTCCAAACAGAAATATTTATAAATAAAATATTGTTAATTTCTCTGAAGTGACATAAAAACCCAGTGAATAAAAATTCCTGAAAAACATGCAAATATAACTGGTTCAGATCTCAAAATAGCTATCCACACATTAATATCATTCTCTGTCTTGCATATTTAAACTATATTTGGAGATTTTTTATCGTTTTGTGAGATTTTGTTTTGGTTTTCAGTTTGAGACAGTGTCTTCCTATGTAGCTCTGGCTGGCCTGGAACTCACTCAGTACACCAGACTAACTTCAAAGTCACGGAGATCTGCCTGCGTTTTCCTCCGGATTTCTAGGATTAAAGGCAGGCACCATGATGCCTGGCAAAACTATTTTGTTTTTCTTGAAGATAAATGCCAATATTGATTTGTTTTATTTTCCAGATGGTTTGACTGACTGTGTGGACCCAGACTGTTGTCAACAAAGCAACTGTTATGTAAGCCCACTCTGTCAGGGCTCACCAGATCCTCTTGACCTCATCCAGCAAAGCCAGCCCCTCTTCTCCCAGCACACTGCAAGACTCTTCTATGATCGAATTAAGTTTCTTATTGGCAAGGATAGTACTCATGTTATTCCTCAAGACATCTCATTTGACAGCAGGTATACATGAATTTCTTTTATTTCTTAGTTAAACAGCGGTCATGATTTTCCTTCACCGTGAAAGATGTTGTCTAAACAGCACGTTGTTTCCTATGTCACGCAACACATACTGATATCTTTCTTACAACTTGCCCTCACTGTTGTTAGTTTTTAAAATGACTCATTTCTAGAGATTGTGTGTCATAAAATTTATGGAGGTGTTTATACATGTGTGTATATGAGTCTTTAAGAGCAAAAGGGAAGTTCAATGTACAAATTTACTAATTAGCTTCTAGATTTGTTCCTTCAAAAACACTTGAATTTCAAAAACTAAATTTTAGGTATTGTTTCATGATGAAAAATATTTCCAGGTAAATGGGTTAAGTGAATTTGACATCTAATGTGAAATTCAAGTCTGAGAAAATCCATCTTCCTAGAAGGCTCAAATACATGAATTGTCCCTAAAGAGCTGAGAATATGAGGCCCAACCCATTATAATCAACTTATTTGAAATATAATAACGAGCATTTATTCATTGATATCCAATGCCTTTATCTTCAACAATGATAAATTTTAACAATCAGCACTAGGTGTAGGGAAGTCATTTTTAACAATCAGCACTAGGTGCAGGTAAGTCATTAAGTCTAATTATTTCAGGTCTTAAAAGGTCCTCTTTGGTCTGTTCTATATGTTGTTGCTCCACTGGTTTCCTAAACTATTGCCAACAATAATCTTTAACAGCAAAAAAAAAAAAAGAAAAGTTTTTGTCTAGGGGCTTCTGTGTACATCTCATTCACTCAGCTGCTAACTAGAGGGCATTATCAGTCTCCAGGAAGTATTTCTTCAAGAGTTTATATTGACACCATTGACAATCTAAGAAAACTACACTTCAGTGAAAATCAGTATACAGTAGAAAGGGGAAAAAATAAAGATGTGCATGAAAATCTCATTCGCCTCCTTTCCCTTTGTTTGACTATTGGAACTCTGGTTGAAACTAAAAATTTTCTTCCTTACTTATATTATTGCATGACTGTGACCTTTTAGGTCTCTGACAAAATACCACACCAAATGTCAACATACCACAAGAAAGACTTTTTTCTCCTAGGGAATCTGGATAACATTTGCCTTCCACCAGGAAATTCACTGATCCCCACTTTGAAATTTTTCTCCCAGCTCCATAACAACTCTGAACCACCTTTCCGATGGGATGTAACCAACATAATTATTTAAGTACAGGAGATGTATTTATATATACCAAAGAACAAAAAGAATAGGAAACAGCCATTATTCTCATTTTCATATTTAAGGTGGAGGGTAAGTCAACTCATAGCTCTCTCCATATTTGGGAAGAAGTCAGTCCACAAAGAGGTATGAGGAAGAAATGAGAGAAATAACCTTCATGACATGAAGATATGTTAAATGACACATTGAATTCAAGTGAGGGGAGAAAGTCAGTATCTGAGAGTGACAGGATAGAAGTTGTTTTGACCCAGAGCAGGGTGTAACCTTGGAAGTCAGGACAAACTGAAACCCTTGCAGTTCAGCTCCATGCTTCAGAGCACTTCCTAGGTGCTCATGCACTGAACAAAACTATTACTTGTGGTGGTTAATGCCCTTCTCTCCCTCCTGGTTTAGGTTTTCCCACCCCATTCTTTTGTAAAATGGGCCATGTTATCATTTGGCTCTCAAGTCACTTAAATTCAGAATGTTGGGTCCCCTTGATCAAATGATCTCAGCTATTACATTTCTTTCTGTCAAAAAAGATGTGAGCCTTTTCCAAGGAATGTACCTGAATAAGACAATTCAACTGCATTTTCTCTAACAGAAACAAAAATCATTTTTACTTCATATGACCTTTCAGCAAAATAAGTCCAATTCTAATCACATATGTAAATAATAACAATTACAGGCCCTCCCCTACACTTGTATGTTACCTTTCTGTTTGCAAAGCACTCAAGCACACATCATTTCATTTTATTAGCACACAGTATCCCTGTGAAGTAGGTAATTCTATTTCATACATTTTATATATGAGGAAACTAGGGTTCCAAGAGACTAAATAACTTGCGCCAAATCATATAGACAGCAAGTTTGTATTATAGCAACTCCTGTAAACTTTCCGTTATGCCATAGCTGTCCCATTTCAACTTGTCCTTAAATAAGTCTAGCGACATGAACCAACTTTACCCTAGATAAATGACATATGGGTCAACTTAAGAAACTTAAACCCAAACACTGTATAAAATCAACTTCAATTTAATATATCTCAAAGGCATTACCTACAAACTTTGAATCAATGCTAATAAACTGCTTCTTTGTAGATGACCACAACTGAGTGGCATGAAATGGGCATTTTGCTACATGGCAGATGTCATTGGGTACTTATTGTCTGTCTGACTTCATACTAGTCTTTGACCTGTGTTATTTCATCTAATCATCACAAGAACTTTCCATGGTATGGTTTATTCAGTTTCACTTTTCAGGTGTGGATACAAGAGCTGAAATGTTAAGTAAGTGACTGCACAAAGTTGTAATGAATGTCAGAGACTGGATTTGAATTCAGGCAGACTAATACTGAGAGCCTAATCTTTAAAGCCCTGTGCTATGCCATGATAGCTCCTCAGAAATCTGGCACATTGACTCTAAAAAGAACCAAGACTCGGGCATCCTTACTTGTGGACTGGCTCCACTCAGATAAATCTGGACACTTACATGCCATAATTAGCCAAATCACTTTTCTTTTTTTCTTTTGCTCCATAACTGAAAGAAAGATAGCCGGGTAGACAGGTAAAGAAAACATTGCTAATGGGAACACTTCCACATGTTTTGTGCATGGGCAAAGCATGACCCATGACATGCTGCCGAGGACTGCCACAATCAGAAGCCTTTGGATCTATAGATAGTGCCATATAGGTGACTAAGGCTTACAAGGACAGGCAAAAGTTAGTTATTCATCCTTTTGCATCCAAAGGAGACTAGCTTTTGCTATACAGAATTAGCTATAGTAGCATGTGAAAGCACATGGAGTATGTATCTTCTGTGCTCCATGATGCTGTAATATCTGTGAACCTGCAACTTGCCCATGGGAAAGTCTTCAGGAAACTCAGCTCAATGATCTTTTTTTCCTAAATACAACTTACCTAGTACCTCACGTCTCTTTTTCTTCAGTCTACATCAAACATGACTACGAAGTAACCCACAGTTTATGTGCCTTGTATGACTTATTACATTTTAATTATGTAAATAGGTGAACAGAAGCATTATTGATCTTCAGTGTCTAAGCATTTAATCACTATTAATAATGTAGAAGGTTTTTATAAATATGTAAAAACAAGAGTACATTAAACTAAATGACAGCAGTAATTTGCAAAGCCAGACATTGCACTCACTAATGGAGAAATGCATTTAAAACACGCAGTCCTACCAGGGTTAGTGCAACCACCAACAGTAAGGTCTAGCCAAATTCATTTGTCTATTTTGTAACCATGAGAGGATGATCTCCACAACAATCTGTGTCAAATATTTGTATCAAATATATGTATCAGGGGCTGTTGAAAATTATCCCACAGATGTATTTTGCTTAGCCTGACATATAGAAACTGAAAGACTAAATGCAAAATTGGGATATCAAATATCTCTAGAAAATTCACAAAGCTGAGCAATACCAGGCACATAGACACAACTTCGATGGCCTGGAGCTGAGTCTCAACAGCTCCTCAGAATGGTACGTTACACCTCTAGTTCACCACTGTTTCCCTTATTCCTGGTTCACCTCCTTCTCTTCTGATGCCATGTGTTGCCCTGCTGGCATTTAAATTTATGACCTCTGGCTGATGCAATTTCTGTAGCTTTCCTTGGAAAGATTTCAAAAGTATATGGCAGGGGTTCGATTTCTTTTCCTAATTGCCAATACATATCTGTTATCATTTGACTTAATTTCAGAACCTTTATTATGTTGGCTCACAAAGAGAAAAAAAGTTGAGTGGAATTGAGATACAAATTATGTTAGTGTAATAGTAATTCTACCCTTAGTACACTGAGTACCCATTTATACTTCACCAATATGTTGGTGCATACTTTGCCACATACATTAGACTAATAAAAATATCTAGGGAAGTGTGTCTTAATTTATGGTGTTTTACATACAACCAAACATAATGTCAGATAATCCAGGTCCCACCACAGTGACAAAGACCTATTTTTAAGATAAGAATGCTTGATCATTATGTTTCTCAACTGCCACCAGTTTCAAGAACACTTTAAAACCTGAAGTTTAGAACTGAAATATAGCTCATGGTGTTAAAGCACTTGCTGTGCAAGGCTGGCAACCTAAGTTCCATTCCCCAAACCCATGTAAACATTCAGATGGAGTAACTATCATCTATAATCCCTGCACTCCCATGGCCAGAAGTTCATGTACACAGTACAACTGCAGAAACTAGAGAAACCCTGCCCCAAAAGAGTGGAAGTATAAAAACGACTCCCCCAAAGTAGTCTTCTGACCTACACACACACAAAAAAAAATGAAAATGTGCACCTGCACACATATGTATATGCACACACAATAAATCTATAAAAATTAAAATACAAAGATGTAAATTTTTACATTAGTGCTGCTGAATACAATTGTGGAGGCCTCTTCTGTTCACTGCTGGTGTATATGTCTACCCTTATTTGAAAAGCTCTAGGACTGGAACCAAACCTAGCATAGCACTAGGCACATAACATTGTTAATGAGCTATGAAGAAAAATGAAGTTAAGCAAGATAGTGGGTTTCTTCTAGTTCTAATTTTTTATAGGGTTGCTGCATTGTAATTTCTTGATTCACATTGATATGCATATTGTTAGCTCTGAATTATCTCATTCTTTAATCTTAACTTCTGTGAGGACAAGGACCAAGATAGATTTACTCTCTCATTGTTTAGAGTATCTATTGCTGTCTGGCAAACTACTTCGAGTAGTGGATTGAAATATTTTCTTATTATTTCTTATGATTCTCTTTGTTATGATTCAGTTATGAC